CTAATAAAATTAAATTAAATTAAATTAAACAGAGAATCTCTGTACCGGAATCTAAAGTACCTTTGTCGAAAACTTACAGGAAAAGTAAAAATGTACAGGAGTATATTAAACAGTAGGTAACAATATATTGCACCAATATCATAAGTGGTTATATTGCACTAGTTAGTAAAGCCACTTAGACTTCAAACTGTGGGAAAAAGTTGAGGTATATTGCACGGAATCATGGATAATAATAATATTGCACTTTTTAATTATATTGCCCAGGAATCACAGAGTCACAGATCGTAAAAATAAAAATATTGCACATAGGTAATCATAGGTAAATGTATTGCATATGTTAGAAACCAAGTAGGGGTAGCATCAGCTATTGCACAAGTATTGTGGTAGCAGTAAGTTATCGTGCACCTTATTGTGAAGATGAGTGACGGTAGGAGGAGTCATAGAGTCTGACTGCAGTGGGGAGGAAGGATTTTCTGTGGCGTTCAGTGGAGTACTTTACGCTGGTGAGTCTGTGCTTTTCAGCTCAGTCACCACACTGTGAAGTGGGTGATCAGTATTGTCCATGATGGCCTGGAGTCTGGACAATGTTCTTCTCTTAGCCGCACACTCTAAGCTGTCCAGTTCTCCACCAACCACAACTTATTCAGTCTCTAAGGCTGAAAGTCTCTGAGGCTACTCAACCAACACCAATGAAATGTAATACTACAGCACGCGAACACTACATTTGGCACTTCATGAAAACATGACACACTTACATGCAGTGACATAATTACATATCACGGACATTATTTACACAAGTATTTACACTATGTACAGTCTGGTGCAATGAATGCCAGTCTACGAGTGATTAAGCCTTGCAGTGTCAAAAGGGTCAGTCGTCCCCGGTGACCGCCAACCCAAATCCAAAACAAAATCCCACCAACAATGAGGGGGCTGATGCTCCCGCCGCAGGTTGCATGTCACAGTACCCTGAGTCCACAGCATACCTCTGTCCTCAACTGCATCTTCGTTCTCAGCCTATGCAGGGGGGTCAGCTGTAGCTGGGCGGATACCTGGGTCCACCGTCACACCCTCACTGCTCACTATATGACCCAGAAACTCCTTTCTCCTTTCGGCACAGGAGGAAGCACTTCTAGTGAGGTGAGGCGCAGGCCAGTCTTCTGGATTGCAGCAAAGATGGTGTGCAGGTGTGAGCGATCAGGTCATTGTAGACGACACCCTGGCTGCGGGGGATGTAGGCTAGCACTCACTCCATCAACCTCTTGAAGGTGCCTGGTGCGTTGCAGAGCCCGAATAGCATCAACTGGAAGTGCCATAGACCGCAACCGATAGTGAACGTGATCTTAGGTTGACCATTCAGGGCCAGTTTGTTCTGCTAGTACCCACTTTGGTGGTCTAAGGCGCTAAACCATGTCAACTTGGCAATGTCATCCAGTGCGTCATTGATCCAGGGCTGCGGGTATGAGTCCTTCTGGGTCACGGCATTCAGACACTGGAAGTCCACATTAAAGCACCATGTCCCATCCTTCTTCCTGGCCAGGACTGCCGACGCAGGACTAGGCATTGTCCAAAGGATTGAGGACACCCACTGCCACCATCTCCCGAATCTTCTGCTCCACTGCTTGATGCTTCATGAGCACCAGCCAGTGAGGATGCAACCAAATGTGCTGGGCATCTCCAGTATCAATGTGGTGGTGGACAAGTATGGTGGGATGGCACTCGTCATCCTGGGCAGCAAAGACGTCCAAATGCCCATCCAACAAAGTTCTCGAACATTGTCAATGCTCAGCGATCAAGCCCATACTGTTTCACTGCCACAGCTCTTTGATTGCCTGCACCTTTTGTGAGGAAAGTTGCGCTGCTGCCTTTGCGCTGCACCAAGGAACTTAGCTGTGTGTCAGGGTTGTTCAAAACAGTTGGGGGCATGGTGGCTTCTTTTGCCACCAGTTTTGATGCTGGCCGCCATTCTGCCGGAGGCACCCGTGCTGAGGGTGAATGTGGCTGCGAGCACGTTGATGTTTATGCCTCGACGGCAAAACAAGTCCAGCCGGATGATGCAGGCATCCCAAATGTTGGCCAACCACACCTCCTGCTCAGTGTTTCACCCCACCAGCATGATCCGAGCCACCACCGCCCTTTCATTGGGGTGCACTCTCATGCCTCCCACCCCGGTGGAAAAGGGTGATGGTGGACCCAGAATCCATCAGGAGTTGGCAGTGGGTGTCCTCCACGGTGCAGTCTACATAGCGTCTGTGGTTGTGACCCAGTCAGCTGACTTGATGACGAAGGAGTGAGGGCTTGTTGGTGGGCGGTGCAGGCGACTCCCTCATAGTGCCGCCTGCCTAGAGTTTTCTGGTGGCAGTGCAGGGTTGAACTGGGGGGCTGGGGCAGGGCAATCACGAGCAGAATGCCCAACTACCCTATAGCAGTAGCAAGGGGCATCGGATAGTGGGTGACACTTCCACCATTGCTCAGTGTGGGCCACTTGCACCCGCTGGCTCTCATCACCCCTGGAGTCCCCAGTCTTACAGGTGCAGATTTGACACAGCATGGCCGGCGGCCGGTGAAATGTTGCAGGAAGGGACAGGATTGCCTCCACTCTTAACACCTCTGCCAAGGCTTCGGCGAGCTTGGCCGGTGCCCGCAGCTGTACATGTTGGTGCAGTACATGTTCATGCTAGTACTTTGACAAAGGCATGGAAAGCCAGCTCCTCCTGCATGGTACTGGTGGATAGTCCTTCCTCGTGTAAATGCGGAGGTCATCTGCAAATGTCCCCAAGGTTTTGCTGTCCCGCCTCCACCAACTCAAAAGCTCCCCCCTCATCACTTCCTCTAATGGCCACCAACTGAAGCACTGCTCTAGTGCCACCACCAGGGTTGTCTAGTTCCACTGCTTGTCGGGGGTCAGACTGAGGAAGGCTTGGAGCGCCTCCACTTCCAGCACCAGCTCCAGGTCCACCACGGCCTCCTCGTTGCTCCATGGATTGTGCCAGGCAGCCAGGCACACTTGGGACAGATAAGGTTCCAGGGATTCTATCCTACTATAGAAAGCTGGTCTTCAACCCACCCCTCTCTGTCATGACTTGTTCCTCCAGATAGCACGGTGGATGAGGGAGCACTAGACCCATGAGGTCACCCTGGGAAGTTGCCGTGCTTAGTTCCTGGGATTTCCCTCTGGTTCCCTCTCTGCTGCCATCTGGGAAACCTTGCCTGTAGGGCGCAGATGAGGTCATCGATTTCTTTGACGACCTTGCATCTCAATTCTGACACCAGTGCTGCAATGTCAGCATGGTGAGACGTGCTTAATTAATACACAAGAGCACAGATGACAGTTGACGCTTTTATTCCATGCAACTGCTAGAGTACCAGCAGTGGCACAGACAGGAGATGTCACCAGAAGCCTTGTGTGTAGGAGTGGACGAGGTCATCATTGTGTGTAGGAGTGGATGAGGTCATCAATTCCTTTGAAGATCTTGCATGCCACTTCTGACAACAGTGTTCAAATTTCAGCATAGTGAGGCATAGCTTAAGTAATGCATAAAAGCACAGATGACAGTTAATAACTTTATTTTGTGCAACTGCCTGAGAGGGAAGTAAGGAGAAATTGATGATGATCATCCGGAATTGCCTCTACTTTTACTCTTGTTTAGTTGCCCCTCTCTGTTGGTCAAAAAGAAATATTAAAACAACAGTGCATGACCAGCTAAGAGTCACCTTTACTCTAGTGCCCTATTATTCAAATCACGGTCCTCGAAGGTCCAAGCCCTGATGGTATTCCAGCCTTCCTTTACCTGTGAGCCAGGTGTGAAACCTCCGACCAATCAGAATCAGTAATTATTAAACTAACTGCCTGGGACAGCTGAAAACAAGGCCTGGATTTGGAATCGAGGTCCAGATTTGAAGAGCCCTGCCCTAGTGTATACGCCAGATTGCAGAGGAGTGCAGTCAGTTTTCCCCACATTCACCAGGAGGTTGTATGATGTGATCATGCTTTTGAAAGTGAAAGAAATGATGGTTAATTGCAAAGAATTACTTAACCTGAGTTATTATTGATCAGTTTTAGAACCACAGCGGTTCCTTTGTCACTTTGAATCATTGTGTCCTATAAAGCTATAAAATTTAACACAGACAATCGATGATAAAGTAGTTATGTCTTTTGTAGTGCTCAGATGTTTAGTTACCTGAATGCAAAGGATTTAATGACTAATCCTATCATTCTCTTTTTATTGTCATTTAGATTCCTTTAGTTAAATTCATATTTCGCACATAGAGCTGATTTAGTAGGCCTACTTTATTTGTACTGACAAATCCCCATTTGACAGCCACCCAAAATGAGGCACGTTTTATTTTAAAGATCCATTAATATTGCAATTATTTTATTGTTTTTAGAAACCGTATCTTTTGATGAGCATTTGTTAAACATGTTAATTTGCATATTGTAATAAAGTACTTTCATGTTCACCATCAGAACAGTCAGCTAAACGTCGTTGGACGGAAAAATAAGGTTTCGTCATTGTGGGCTACGAGGATTTGTTAATGTATACTGCGCCAGGGCATCAGGGTTCACCTTAACACGCAAATGCCGCAAACAGGTCAATGTAAATAATTACAGAGCATGCAGAAAGTTTGTTCCACGCATTGCAAACTAAAATTACGTTATTTCCTAATATTTCGCACATAATTAATGGTTTTTGTTTCGAATTGTGCCTCTGCTGACATCCAGCTCTCTGTCCATAACAGCTGACAATTGAAATCTTGCGCAAAAAGAGAATACCCATCTGATGACGTCACGTGGTGACTGTCACAAGGAACGTACCGATTGCGAAAACCCCCATCAGGCACAGGCGAACGAGAGGTGCAAGGGGGAAAGCCATCTCGTACGGTCCAAAACGCACATCCCTTTCGACTTTCCCCGAGAGACGAGCTTTGATACGGAGCCGTCTTTAAGCAAAACTGCCGCCCCCGGCCTGCCGTTCTTAAGTCGGGAGGCTGATCGGCCCATGATTGGTGGAGCCGCGTCACGTGGGTGGCCCCCGACCGGAGTTTCCACGACAGCTGGCAGCTGTGCGAGCCGAGCGCGTCGCTGGTTTATGCCCCAATTCTGCCCACATCCCCCCTGAAAACATCCGTAGGCAGGCGACATGGGAGACAAGAAGAGCCCGACAAGGTAAAGCGCGCTCCGCGTCCGTCAGCTATGGCCGTGTTGTGGCGGTGCTGCGAGTAATGAATGCGCCGATCGTGCTAGGTACGTGTGACTGAGAGGTGGCCCTCCTAGTGGAGCAGCCATGGCGGACTGGCCGCTCCATTACACGGTCCGATCTTTGCTCCCGGGGAAGCTAACCGCTCTCCCCCGTTGACTGGGCTGGCGGCAGATGTTTACAGACGGGACATTCACACGGATTGTGTGCGATCGCCGAGAGTAAAGCGCTGCTCTCTCTCCCTGTTGTCTTGTCCCCGAAGGCCGAAGCGGCAGCCGAAGCCTTCCTCCGACGAAGGCTACTGGGACTGTAGCGTCTGTACGTTTCGGAACAGCGCCGAGGCTTTCAAGTGCATGATGTGCGATGTGAGAAAGGGGACATCCACACGGTAAGCCGATCTGCTCGTCGGCGCTGATGGTCCGTGCTTGCTGCGCTTCGGTATTCAGATACGTGCTTCCTTCCCACTGTTAGTAAATGTGCAATAACATGTCATGCGATCGGGTTGATCACACGCATTTCAACTTAATCAGCGATCTAGTTAATTGTATACTAGCAAATGAAAAGGCCATATTTCCTTATGTGATGGTGTAATCTTTTTATTAGAAAGGACTGACGGTTTCCTGAATACCCTCCGTAAATTTATCCGATTTGATACATCTTGGTGTCGGAGAGCAAAGTTATGACTTGGTCGTTTGAGTTAGTGGGCGATTAAACTTGTAATATTTCCACACTGCAGTATTTCCGTGAAATAAGGGGGGAGCCGTAAGTCAGACACTTAAGACAAACGAGAAATATGCATTTAAGTAACGCTGTATACATAAATCAATTGTCAGATGTTTAGAAACTTGGCAGATTCGGTTATCGTATGTGAATGACCGTAGAATCGCCCAGCAATGCAAAAACAAAGCATGACAGGATTTTACCCTCCAGGACGATACCAAGTCGTAATTAATTCGCACAGATGTGTCACGTTTGCTTGTTTTTTTATAGTTTTAATTAGGTGCGATCAATGTACGTGACAGGTTATTGGTAATCCAGTTTTCTCTAACGCGCTGTTATTTATCCTAAGCGGCGGAATAACAAATTAACCATGCATTCATATTTCCAATCTGATGTCGCCAAATGCCATTATATTTTTGGGGGGAGATATCCAAAATTAGTATATTATGCTGATCTATAGAAAAACGTCACATCCTTCTGTGTTTGCTTGAACCCTTCGGATGCTGAGTACAGTCGATCCACGATGTGTTTATCTTCTGGCAGGAGCTGTTCATGACTTTGGGAAGGGGGCCTCAGTCACTATAGATTACTCTGCATCCATCATGCAAGCACTGCTGCATTTCCAGGAAAGCCTTTATCAAAGCCAGCTGACAACTTTGTTTCTATACTTACATCTCTCCTGACTTCTGAGTATTCCAGTCAGAAAGAGCAAGATTCCACGTTCCATTAGGTCTATGTCTGACATCTCACCAAAGCATAATACTTACTCTTTTATTGTAGTAGGAATCTCCTTCAAAAAAGGAAGCGTCATGAATAGTGGTAATTGATAAAAATGAGCAGTTTTGGGTTTTCTGGCATCTGGATCGAAGTCAGTACTGGGCGATTCCAGCAACGTGTTTCCCGTCATCTGAACTCTTCGTTAGCTTCTAATAAGGGATGGGATTACTGGGATGGGATTACTGGGATGGAATTACTTGGCAGTTCAGCATCAGAGACCACTGCTCTGTCATGTAGATATTATAATACAGGAAAGCCGTTTTAAGAAGTCACGCACATCAGTTGAGAGAAGACTCTCAGTAAGTGCGCGTGTTAACCTCTGTTGATGTCACAATCAGAAATTTTTGGCAAAAGTGCTTTAATTTGACCTCCCAGTTTAAATCTGAGGAATAACTTATATATTTCCCGTAATGTTAGAAGTGTACAGTTCTCGTTTGTGGAGAATGCAGTATACCGAACATTGCCTGGTGATGAACATAATGAAAATACCAGCTATTTCTCTTAAATGTTGTTACGGCAGCTGTGAAATCTCATAACAACCCCCCCCATTCTGTAACCTGGTCGGGTTACATAGTGATGGAGAATTTTTACATGCAGAAGGCTGTGCTATGACCTAATCTCTCAGAGGCATTGCTGGAGCTGGATTGAGGTCAAACTCCAGTGGTCTACCACAGCTGTCAGGACCGTCATGCTCCTGACTCATTAGCATGCAGTGGTTTCGTTTGTGTGCAGCCACCTCCCCCCCCCCCATTCAGATGTTGGCCGCTTTAGCCGCAGTAGGACTCCATCACTGCGATCAGGCAGACAGATTGGCTGGCTGTGGCTGATGGCCTCTTCCAGGGAGGAGATGCTGCTTCTTTACGCAGCAGAGAAGAGGAAACAGCGGCTGCCCAGGTGACAACGGCAGTTGTAGGTGTGATTTCACCTTCAGCGTTGTTGTGCCATTAGTCATGTAATAGTGCTGGGGGAGGGTGTAACAGGGGATCAAAAACGATTTATGGAGAACTTGCAATGTCATTCCAGGAGATCCAGCTACTTCTGTGAGATGTAGGGCTTTTGAACCAAGTAATGGTTGAATTAACATTATATCATGCTTCTGAAAATAACTTAACAATGGCTAAAATATGTAGGTTGTGCTTAAAAAAAAATGGTCCAGGATTTATACATCAACAGACATCAAATTACATTCAATTCGAGGGTAGTTATAGTTGTCTGATTGGTTCCATATTTATCTTTGTGTTGTGACTTTTTCCCCCACGTTTCATTGGTTGATGTTCCGTTTCCTGAGGTGTTAAAGAGCTCAGGCTTCAGATGAGGGTCGTTACAATAAGCACTGTGATAGTGGGCAGTAGGTTTCTGCTCAGGAACCCTGATAAAATGTGGGATACGAGTAAAGAATTACAGCTCCTTTCCTATTGACACCCAGCTGTATAAACAAGTGTATACAAGCCTATATGTTATGTATTAAATTGGATCTGCCAAACCAAAAAGTATCAGATACCTAGTTTATCTGATAAAAGCTGTGTGACATTTTTAAAGGAGACATTTTTTCTTTTTTCTTCTGCAGCAATAACAATCCAATCTGGTTAAGTTTTATTTTAGAGATTTTAAAAAAAAATCTTGTTCAACTGTGTCCCTTTTTCCCCAAACCGCCACTCGTATAATTAAACTTGCATTGACACAAAAAAACACTCACATGTTTAGTCAGAATGGAAAATGGCTAGAAAAATGTTCCACAGTTCTTGGGTTTCTCGACACGAGTAGTAAATCTCTTAATTTCAATGCCATTTCCACATCATCCTCTATCAGACTCATCTCTCTGCAGGTGTGTGAGGGGAAGCCCACCTGTATTTCCTTTGTATAATTCAATAAGGAGGCACAAATATGAAATGCCAAATGCTGATTAATTACTATTCATTAATGCAAATAAATGCAGGAATTTCTCAATTGAGGAGTGAACCCTGTACCTTAGCAGACGTGTGGACGTGTCTCGTGTGCCCTATATGTCGATGGAGCTGTAGTTCACCATGGGAGCCAAAGCCATCTGTTTGACATAGGACAACATGGTGCAGATGGCATGGAGGACCGTACCGGGCATGTGGGTTTGATCCGGCGTGGCCTGCTGACATCCGCCTTGCTGTGTTCGATGCCTGGCAGGTCAGCTAACGTGTTGTAGCAGCAGATTCATCATAGCATGGCAAACCTGGGAGGAATCCGCTAACTTGGCAGTCAAATGAAAACAACTCCTCTTTTACTTCTTAAGAATATTTTACTGGTTTTATTTTTGTGTTTATGCTGCCATCACAATCCCTGGTTATCTATAACCGCTTGTCTACCGTGACTCATCTCTAACAAGTGCAATAAGCAGATAGGGTGGAAAATATCTGAAAATCTGCACATTTAGGTTTAATTTCCAGCATTGCACAAAATTCTTCATGTACAGCGGTGTCGTTTTTTCTGCTCTTGTTGTAAAACGATTTGTCGTTTCTGCTTTCATTGCAGAAAATCTGAACATGAGGGTGGTATAATGACTACAGAAATGGAGGGGGGGCGACTAAAATGCCTCTTGCGTGTGTCACAAGTGCTGGCTGGTGCCGATCACATCAACAGTAACCAGGGAAAATGGTCAGGACTTTCCAGAGCACTCTGCCAAAGATGTGGAACAGAAATGAGGAAACAGGAACATGTGAGCCAGACAAAATATTTGTGGTTACCTGTCTGAATGTTTTCTTTAGCTGAAAAAAATGTGATTGAAAAATGATTTTCTGAATTTGATCACTTTGTCATAGCAGTGGGCTTAAAACTGACAGAAAGGACAGAGGTTTTAGGTGTCTATATGTAAGTATCTACTGATTATTTTGTTCTTTAGAGCTCTTCTTAAAGGGCAGACTTTGGGTAGCACATGCAGACTAATTATTTTTAGAATTCAAGTCTCCAAAGTGTTGTTTAGCTAGCGTACCATTCAGTTAAGTAAATCTGTATTCATAGAATAATGGAAGATGTCTTCCTACGAATATGATGGGTTTAGTGTTCATTCACTGCGAGGGATTAATGGTTGGTGTGTGATGAAATGCAACAGTGTGATTAGAGGAAAGTAGGAGCAAAATATAGTGACCCTGCCACTGAGCCATGGGGAACACTGCCAGCGAGAGGCCATGTTTGCATGTGAACGGGAGGCGGAAGAATAGGGGAAGAAAGAGAGGAGCTTGTCCAGGGAAGGACTCTGCGTGGGAGGAGCTGACAGAAAGTCAACGGCAGTGATCAGCCTGGATTAGGATGGAAGCAGTGTGAGTGGAGCAGAGTCGGGCATGAAAAGAGGCCTGTCAACAGAGTGAGACGAGAAGGTGAAGACTAGGAAGCGGAGAAAAGTTCTCATCAAGTGCGAATAGGCTGCTGCTGTAATTGTTTTCCCAGTAAAGGAAATTTACAAAGGCTGTGGTTTATTTTCAAGTCCTTTGACGTTATGTATCATTACGCAGGGCTTCTCTAAGCCGCTGGAAATGGATCGCGCCAGAGCAGTATTGACTGACGCCTTTTAAACGCAGTGTTTACGCCAGAGGTGTTGCTCTGAACCCGAAGGAATCCTCAGCAAGATCAATACCTTCATCTTGTGATTGACTAAAGGGTGCTAACATTATGCCGCATTAGCATGCATTTCATGTCAGCTTGATGCGCTTTGCTGTGCGGTCCTGAGATTTGTGCTTCCTTGTGAAACCACTAATCCCTAATGGATGCAGGCAGCTTTTTTTTTTTTTTTTTTTTCTTGCTGACATTGAAATGCCATTACAGTGTCTCTTGTTTTAGCCTCTTTCTGTTGTCAAGTGCAGATAAGCCCCCACCTTCGCTGTCAAAATGGGAAAAAGCTGAAAGTGTAGGTCCATATAGCAGCATGTTTAATCAGGCAGCGTTTGAGATTAGGAATGCCCCGGAGGATTGTGCTGACAGATTGGACGAAATGAAAGCAAACCCTTGTTTTATAGGGAAGAGGAGAATGTTTGCGTGTTGAAGGCTTCGTCTGTTAAGGTCTCATCTATATAATATTACCTGGGAATGTAGGAGATGGAGGGGGCTGAGCAATCTGGGAGGATCGGAGATCAGCAGTTCTGGTTCGGTGCTGAAGCCGTGGCACTCATCTGCTAGATCGTTAATTAATTTTAATGTGCAGATACCCTTCAAAGTCAGTCATGGACAGCAGCGAGATCAAAAGCGAACGGCAAAGCTGCAGATAAAGCACAGCGGAGGTGATTAACAGTACCGTGACCGTGGACACTGATGGCATGCTGGAACAGGCACGTCTGTCTTTAACTTTGATACGTCTTCTGGCAATTAGCAACAGAATAGAAATAGAGGTTCCGTAGAAGGAGAGCAACCTTGGTTCAAACTGGTGGAGTAGACGGGCATGCAGGCCAGTGGCAGGCCATGGAACGGGTCAGCATGGAGGTGAACCAGTCAGCATTGTACTTTTGTTTCAGCAAATAACTGGCTGAAAGACAAATGCATTATCACTGTGACATCACTGCTGCTTGCTTTAAACATCACAGAACGTCTGTGAACTAATACAGCTTTCTTCAAGGTCTCACATGTTCTGCTTTGCAACACAGTAATTCAATACTAAATATCCATTTAGAATCTTTCTGATAGGTTTTACCAAACCCGGCATATCATCTTCACCAATAGCCAGATCGTGTCTAACGTCCCATCTCCAAACCTAATTACGAGTCGCAGCTGTATCACTTTCTCCAAAACTGGTTCCAAAGGTGACGTTCTGAGGCGTCTATTAGTGCGGTGGTTTGTCATTACCGTGCTTGGTTAGGGCTTTAATGTAATGCTGGCCTTTATGCAGCGCCGCCCACTTGTTATCCACAGGCCATAACTGTCCCATGAGGTCACCCTCGTTTGTCTCTCAACTTCCAGGAAGCCCCGTCCAGTCTCTCAGTTGGTCGCGCAGCAAGTAACCCCGCAGTTTGCCTCCCCCACGCAACCGAAGAAAGAAAAAAGAGAGAAAACGGATAAAGAAAAGAATGAAAAGGAGCCAGCGGTCAAAAAAAACAGCCAGAAGAAGATGAGGTAAACAAACAAGTATTCTCACAGAGAAACTAAAATTTAATTTGACCAGGGGAAAATTGTGCACACATGCATGCTCGTGTGTGTGTGTGTGTGTGCGCATGTGTGCGCATGTGTGTATATGTGTGTGCGCATGTGTGTATATGTGTGTATATGTGTGTATGCACAAACAGCTTAAATAACCATGTTTCAGAATTTCTGTATATTTAGTTTCTGCTGATAATGTTTCAGAAATGAGGGTTAGGCGAGTAAATTGAGATCCAATCAGCGAGACTAATTCTGGGTGACATGTTTGTATCGGGATTAAACGTAAATGACTGTAAGCCGGGTCTCTTCATCTGTGGCGGGGCAGATCAGCGGCATCATGTTTTTGGGGTCCTTGAACTCTTAACAGTATAGGAAGGATGTACAATGCAACTTGGGGAGAGTGAAAAGTTAGTCATGATGGAGAAACCACGCCGGTCTCCGCCTCCTGATGAGCAGTGAAGATGACGCTGAGGAAAATGCATGGGACTCCAGCACTGAAAACAACCCAGGCGTTCTACCTGAAGAGGGGAAAAATTGATTGTGACAATGAAATATCATCAGCAGGAGTTGGCCTCCTCATTGCTCAGCTGACTTGTACCGACAGCCTCCACTGAAATAGAGTCAAGTTGCCTGTGCAGTTATTTTCTGCGGCAGATGTGGTGTGGAAAGTGGGGAACTGTCACCTCAGAGTAAAAGAAGCTGATTACACGTGGCTAAGAATTGTCCTTTCACCTGAATTGCTGGTTTTTTTATTAAGGCTCTCCTGACAAGCTGCAAATGATGCTAATCTCAGTTTTACTATCTTTATCAATCAGTTTCCGGATAACATTATGAGTGCAGTCAGAGACTTGTGTAAGTTCTCATGTTTTCCATCTTTCCTGAAGGGTCTTTTCCACTCTGCCCCTACAGGCCAAGATTAAAAAACGTGGACAGGAGCAGCGCACAGCACTTGGAAGTCACAGTCGGAGACCTGACTGTTATTATCACGGACTTTAAGGAGAAAACAAAGCCACCAGCGTCCTCCAGCGCGGCGTCGGCAGACCAGCACAGCCAAAGTGGCTCCAGTTCCGACAACACCGAGCGAGGTCTCTCCCGGTCGTCCTCGCCCCGGGGAGAGGGATCGTCAATCAACGGGGAATCCCACTAGCCCCGCCCCCCACCCAGACCCACCCCACACCCCTGTTACTTTAGTCATTACGCAATATACGCATGTCATAAACTTTTTTGCCAAGATAGACCACAAGTCTCAATTTCAGGTGAGGTTAGACCACATGTTTGTGACATGCAGATGATGAGGTGGACATATTGGAAGTCTTCCACTATGTGTTCTGTCCTGGTGGGTTTGTTTTTAACGAGACCGGTTTCCTGTCAAGATCATAGTAAGTGAACTTTCTCGCCCTTTGTTCATGACTTTAAGAAACGAGGGTATTGTCTGGGGAACAAATTAGAGTATGAATTGTATAGTGCCATGTTAATGTGGTAGTATTTTACATAAAGTCAGTGTTATATTGTCAATACACTCTTACTCGATTTCTTTCTCCAAAAAAAATGTTGTGGCATGAAATGGGTCAGAGTTTTAAACATTTACAATAGAATATGCATTATAGCAGATAATGGGAAAAGGGTATTTGAGGTGTACAGTGGAACTGATAACTGTGAGAACGACATAGCTACTTGTTCTCAGTGGCTTAATACACCTGCAGGTACGTGGTGTGTGGCTTAACTAAGAAAGAGAATATTCTTTAAGGACACTTGTGTATGGTTAGGCCAATATCTTACAGCACATGTCAGTTTTGTTTAATTTTCCCACCCCTGGGTATACCAGTCTGTGCTGTTAAATGTGTATGAACATCTCAATTAATTACGTTGTTTTACTGTCTGAAGAAATGTTTATAAGTAAAAGAATGAAATTATGAATTTGTTGTTAAGAGGTTGACCTCTGTCTGCTTCTTGTTCATTTCATAGACGCTAGCTTGTCATTATTTTACAGTGGTTTATATTATAGAAATTATCACAAAATAAAGAGAAACTAGACTCCTTAGTAAAACAGAAATTAAAGTTATTGGCGTTTACATTTCTGGGGTTGCTAGCACTGGGGTGTGATGTTTTGGTATACATTCTAGTGCCATAGTGAGGTTTAAAAACTGCTGAACCATGAAATTATTACTTTTAAACTTCAACATTTTAATAAGTTGAGTAGACAAATTATGCTTTGTTGTTAGCATGCCATTGTTTAATGTGTTAATCTTTTTAGAGAATTAATGTATTCTGTGACTAGTACTCGAATCCAATTTGAATGTATTTGACTTGATTCACACTAGGACTCGATCTGACAACTGTTCGCCGATTGTGTACATTCATCTGCAGCATTCATCTGCCATATCATAAATCAGTCAGGCTTTTGGTAGTCTCACTTTCCTCAGGTATACATTAATAACTACAAGGTGCTCACAATCCCCTTTATTTGTAGGGTGCTTTGCATCTACATGATGCATCATTAGGTGTGACAGCTACTGTCAGGGCTAACAAGACGTCCACACCCAGAGTAATTAAATGTGAATTCACGGATTTTAGTATCCAAAACAAAAACATGTCAACCATTTGCAATACTTGCAATAATAAGGAACAATAGGAAATAACTAGGAACAATATCAAATTACACCCAGAAGTTAAGAATTTATAGAATTTAAAATCATTGACTAGAATACAAATATTTTATTAATCCTCATGGAGAAATAATGCTCTCCATGAGACAGACATGCAGATGAGAGCAAACGTCGTCGTCAGACAGCGTTCAATGCGTCTTGCTTACTCTGTTAACACAGGTATCTGATGCACACATACACAAAGAATAGGTTATTTATAGCGTGCCGACAAACCGCTTATGCACAGGTGCAAAGTGCCAGCATAGAAAATGGTATTGCCAAACTGATTACAATTTCTGCTCAGACGACTGGGGTGGAGCAGTGATCCCCTCCCCCCCAAACTCCGTCTATGGTAATTTAGAATTAAGGCAATTTGAACCAGTATCTCAGTCTTTGTTGTAGTTGCAGTCTTAATGATATGAACATGAGCGGATATAGCCGGTGGTCACTTTTGCAATTGATATAGTTGACTTTTCAAATTAACGTAAAGAGAAGGTAAGTAAATTCTATTATATCAAATGTGCTATTCGACGACCTCGAAAACCCCTAAACCGTCACCAAGCGGCCATCTTGTGCCCGCCCCTTATCCCCTCCCCGGTCTTTTCTGCGCATGCGCCAAACGCGGCCAGCGTGCCCCGCGGTCGATTAATTTTTCATGACAGAGAAGGTCCTATCCTATGGCGACGCGGTCGGCGATGTCTGCCATCGCCCCTTCCTCCCAGAAGCCAACGCATCGGCAGCGTATTTGACAGCGGTGGAAGATTAGACTTAAATCATTACGATGGCCGGAAGGCTGCTGCCCAAGTGGCCCTGCTAACCAGCCCTCTCCTCGTCTATGTAGTCATGCCGTGAGCTTCGGTTCAAGCAGCTTTCGCGTTGCGTTTTTAGCCGAAATGCGACGCTACCTCCGCATGCTCCTGGCGTGCGCGCTCTTCGCGCTACTCTCCGCGCTCTACGTGTTCAGCCAGTTCGCCTCCTCGCTGGAGCGCGCGACCGGGCGGACAGACGGGAGGGCGCAGCGCGGCGACGGGCGCCAGGGAGCCGGGAAAGCGGCGCAGAAATCAGGGCCGGGCGACCAGCATTGGTATAACAGGTGAGCTTCCCTTGTGTAACAGAAATAAATTAACCACACGGGTTAAGAGTGAATTTAAGTTCAGCAGCGATGGGCTTCCCAAGTATCTAGGAAGCTAGCAGAGATAAGCATGTGTGAATGTTTCTCCGGGACATAAACCCGCTTCCGATGTGTTACCGAGACTTTGCGGCGAGCATATGTGTTGGAATTTGTGGGGTCTGGAGTTACCGCCGCCGGAAGTCGGTTTAACCACAAGCACAACGATCCCTGCTTGTTGGTTTGTTAAAGTGGTTTTTCAGCAGCTGTGGCTTGTCAGTCTGGTTGAGGTTTTATTTGGCGGCGGCGTTATTGCTGCTTAATTGGTTTTTCGGGGAGGATTTGAGAGTCACGAAATCAGACACTGTCCTTGTTCGAGTTGAAGATTTCCCAAGCAAGCTAGGTGTTTTAACAAAAAACACGCCTTTGATTTATTCAGGATCGCATTTATAAGGGGTTGGCATTGTAGTACAGTTGTGCAAACTGTCTTTTTTTTGCATTGCAAACAGGAAACGTGTGGTTACATTGCTGGGGATGTCCTCGTCCTGGTGTGAGACGGGATGTGTGGGGACGCGGCGCGCAGTGTTTATTCAGCTGAGCTCTATGCTGTTTTAAATTTAAGGGATAATTTTTACTGCGCCCGAAATGTTCGTGATAGACATTACCCATTCTGTTTTTCCTTTTCATGATATCCTCCATATCAAGTTACTACGCAGTAATGGGGCGTTAAACTCAACATTTATATTCATACATTTCCATTTCAACGAAATGGCGTGCATACTCGTGCAATGTAATCCATCAGTAATTTGACCTGAGCCAGCAACAATAATGAAACCCTATGCTGCTGTTTGATTTTATTGACCATTATTGGCGTCAGATTATGAAATTTAATCCTTCCACCTTTGCTCATCCGGAGGGATATGCCGGATGGGGCGCCAACCTATTGTAGGAGGGCACACCTATGGCCAATTTGGCAACTCCAAGTAGCCTCAGCATCTTGCGGACCCTAGTCCCAGAGGTGTGAGGTGACAGTGTGAACCACTGCACCACCAGGCCGCCCCTAAATATAAATCGGTACTTAAAATTATAAAATCCGCTCATAAAACCGAGTATTTTTGGTAGTGCAAGACACCAGTCTTTCAATCACATAACCAGCTCTTTTATAGCTTATGATCATAAAGAGTGTCTTGAGCAACACTTGCTCCCTTTGTGTGGCGGAGATGCAGCTTTTGGTGGCGTTTATCACTGGAGTGATTGAGGGGCGCTTTTATGCAGAGCCTGTTTTTTTCTCCTCCTGTCAGGTGTAGGAGTTTGTCAGTGTCTTACTGGAATCCCTATTGGAGGCTGCCCCCTGCTGTTTGTGGAATGAACTGCTTAATGGAATCGTCTTTTAGGTAGGCTTGGCAGAGACTAATCCCGATGGCCATAGGAAGGAAAAGCTATAATGTTCTGTTGGATTACCTGCTGAACGAAGATTAATCTGGAGATTGCTAGTAATGTCATATAAAGCTAAGCAAGAATAAATGCTGTTTAGCAGCATTTACTGTAAGAGACCCTTAAGCAGGTTTTGTTCTAGGTCTCTGTAAAATTGGTGGTTCTTTCCAGCACCTATTTTTGTACAGGGCATGGCTTATCCTGGACCAGACACTAAACCAATTAGGTCAAAGAAGTAAGATCACCATTTAACTAAACAGCGGAGCCCTGTGTAGCTTAGTTTTTTCCCTGTTCAAACACACATGATTCAGCTCAAGAGCTGTGTGGTAATTAGCACAGAGTTGTATCAGGTGTGTTAAATGAGGGGAAACCAAAAATGTGCAGGACATTGGCCCTCCAGGACTGGAGTTTATCACCCCTGACATGCTCTTTTAGCATAATAGCTGGTAGCTCTTATCTGCAGAGGGCCGGTGTGTATGCAGGTTGTTTTTCATAACCTTTAGGTCATCTGTTCAAATCTAGGTGTGAGGACTCTTCTGCCAATCAGTGCTCTAACTACTAATCTAATTAGGCAGTTGCAGTGAAAATCCGTGCGCACACGCACAGCGGCCCTTTCGGGATAAGATTGGCCACCCCTGCTTGATAAAACAGGGAGCCAGGGCTGGCCTGCTGTGTTCAGATGTGTGTTCAGCACCCCTGGCTGCCAGGTCCATCTCCATAATTCAGCCCCCTGCTTTTGTGTCGTGCAGAAGAAGTTTGAGACAGGGACCATGTCACTGTTCATGCCGTGAGACTGGCAACCCCTGCAAGCAAAATATGTTTCTTAAATGAAAACATGGATTAAAGATTTCTCGTATTGCTTATTTGACATTAGGCTTCTATTCTTAAAGGATAATGCATTGGTTTCACTAAAGGGGAAGAACTTAACCACAGTAATTAGCCTTTTATATGATGTAAAATGCACTTTAAAATGGCGTATTTGCACCCCATTTTACAAAGATGGTTAATCAGGTTTTTTAAATATAGTTTAATTTTAATATTGAGACAGAAAGGGCATCTGATGGTTGATATGCACAAATGCAGCTCTCTCTCTGGCTTAGGGGATTAAACTGGCAGTCATTCTGCAATGTTTTGGTTGCCTTTAAGACCCTCAATGTCCTATGTCTCCCTTGCCAGGTATCTCATGTGCAAATCACTCTTGCAATTGGGTTCTGGACCCCAGCTCTGTAGGGGGTGTGTGAGGAATCATTCAGCAGGCCAACGCCTGGTTCGTTTCAGGTACATTCTGCGGGATGAGAAGCCGTCACGGGCTGGGGGATCCAGGCAGGAGCCGGTGCACCTCGCCGTGGTGGCATGTGGGCAGAGGCTGGACGAGACGCTCACCATGCTCAAGTCCGCCGTCGCCCTGGGCCGCCAGCCGCTGCACTTCCACATCTTTGCCGAAGACGAGCTGCACTCCGGCTTCAGAGCGGCGGTGAGCACCTGTCTGACTCTCGCCCGGCCCGTTAGCGGCGGTGAGCACCTGTCTGACTCTCGCACGGCCCATTAGCGGCGGTGAGCACCTGTCTGACTCTCGCCCGGCCCGTTAGCGGCGGTGAGCACCTGTCTGACTCTCGCCCGGCCCGTTAGCGGCGGTGAGCACCTGTCTGACTCTCGCACGGCCTGTTTATGGAGCCCTGCTCATGCGTAGGGGTGTAAATCATTGGTCCTAAGGCGATTCGATTCCGGTCATTGAGGAAACTATTTGATGAATTAGAAATATTTGATCCGACTAATTGATGAATTGATTATTTTGATAGCCTAAGTCCAAACCTTTTCAAACTTCTAAAAAATACACGAGTATTACCAGGGGTAGAACAAACCAGTGTAAAATTTCACTGTACAAAGAGAAATTAAACGCATTAAATTAATTCCGCCACCAGGCGGGGGGGGGGGGGGGGAAACTTGCCAAGCCCTTGTTAAACTTGGCCCTGTTAAGCACAATGTTACATGGGCTTTTTATTCCGTGGAAAGCGAAACATCGACCTGTAGGCCAGATTTAATAATGAACTATAAACATGTCGCTGGCCTCTTCTAAATGGTGGATGAGCCAATGAATCCCTTGTCCTCCTGCAGAAAGTGGCTGATCGGGCAATGCAAACATCTGTTATTTCAGTGGTTCTCTGTAGCTCTGGTGCTACTAATTTTGAATATTGATAAAGTTTAAATATCAACCAAGATTGTCACATCAGTCTGACGCCAAAATTTTGATTAACAAATATTGACCAATCACTAATGCATGTTGTGCATCACTAAGGATAGCATGATATTTTGCGTAGCTAGTTAGTTAGCTACCTCAGGGATAGCTACAAAATAGGCATTTATGAAAAGCATCATAGTGCAAAGATCTCAACTATTCACAAAGCATTCTGCATTACAAAATGGCCAAAGGAGTTTCCCAAAAGCGTCAAGCGCAAAGATCATCAGCTAGTGCTTCCTGTTATGAATATTGGTCAGCCTTCCCCTGCCGTCCTACTTTTCAGGAATGTATCTGCTGGCACTGTTACTCGGTGCGTCTACCTGCGGCGTGTGAGCTGCACTTGTGTGCTGCACTTGTGTGCTGTATTCACCTTTCCCGCCTTTTTGTGCAGCTGGAGGTGTGGCCTGGCCCCGGCCGGTCCCGCTACAACTACACGCTGTACCCAATCACGTTCCCTGCCGACAACGCTGCTGAGTGGAAGAAGCTGTTCAAGCCCTGTGCCTCTCAGAGGCTCTTCCTGCCTGTGAGTCCCGTGTGCAGCAACCCCCGGCATCATGAGTGAATCCCCACATGCGTACCTGACCGTGCTTGTGCTCTCGCCTACCTGTTATACATCATCTTCCATCGCCAAAGTCTAGTTCCAATACTCAAAAGCAGAAGTACAGAGGATGGTAAAAATCTTGGTCTTGCTCTGCCCCAAATATCAAGGATACATCGATTGCATCTTTGCCAAACAAGACCAATCCCATGATTCATTGCACCCCAAGTTCGTTCTTGGATGGCAAGTTAGCAAGACCGGTCTTGTCAAGACCCCGAGTACGGTCTTTGCTTTCTTGGTATTGAGATTCACCACATGAGTATTCATCATTCTCTTCTGTGTTACTGCTGGTCCTTTGTATGGGGATGTGAGTCTGGAGCGCGGACCGGCAAAGCCAGGGTATGGCGGGGGGCAGGGAAGCAAGCCCATCATAGGGGGGACACTCGCGCACCCGCAAATACTCATTTCGATGCCCCAGGTCCTCAAAGCCACATGTGGGAATATCTGGCAGAGGTTTTGGGGAAGCGCAGCAATCCAAAAACGCAGAACTGAGGCAGGAATCAGACTCAAATTTTATTCATTTGCCAGTAAGACACGGTAATATACAGTAAGACTTGCAGTGAAATGTTATTTTACGACACGCAGTAACGTAAAAACGGTGGGATACAGATGTAATAGGGTTAGAGTTAGATTCCTATGAGTAATTTCTTATCTAACGGGGGGGTGCAGATGTCATTAAATACAGATGGGCAGTCATAGTAGTATGTGTAAATGATGCAGTGCAACAGCGAGCAGGGGTATTCCTGTAAGTAATAAATCATTTGTAGTGGGGGGGTGATTAACAGCCAGGTCAGTCCTAGGTGTTGCCCTGTTGAGGGTCCGAATGACGAGCGGGAAGAGGCTTCCCCTCATTCTCTCTGTATTGGCCTTCAGGGAGGTCCTCACCCTGGTGGCGTTAGGTGATGGTTTATCCCATTAATCTCAGTTGTATGTTTCTTTGGATAAAAGCGTCTGTTTAAATCTGCTTCTTGACTGTAAAGTAGATGAGATCCCCCCCCCATTCTGAGAATCCAGTGGTCCCTCAGTTAATTAGCAACTGGTCAACAGATGAAGAGGTTATTTTATGTATAATCATGTTAAGTGACTAAGCACTGAGATAGAGGGTGTGAATGGGTAGAACTGTCTGGAATGTTTAATCCAGTTAGTAGCAGTTGTACTGATGTCTGTGTGTGTGTGTCCTCTCCAGATCATCCTAAAGGACGTGGACTCCCTGCTGTATGTGGACACGGACATACTGTTTCTAAGGCCTGTCGAGGATCTGTGGTCCCTGTTGGCCCATTTCAACTCCAGCCAACTGGCTGCTATGGCGCCAGAACACGAGGAGCCGCGCATCGCCTGGTACAGCCGCTTCGCGCGGCACCCCTACTACGGCAAGACTGGCCTCAACTCCGGGGTCATGCTCATGAACATGACCAGGATCAGGGAGAAGCACTTCAAGGTGCGCCTGCTTTTCTGTGGCAAGATTGAATTAAACAGTCTTCTGAGCTTAGAATATTTCAGTAAAGTAAAAGGTAGTTTACTGAAGATCATGCATCACATAGTGATTCTGCAGTAGCTTGAGGTAAGGGGCATGCACTAATTAGTGCATTGCCGTACCCATCACATGACAAACCACCCCAGGGGTGAGAACCTGAGTCCAGCCATGTGATGCGTGATACCTCAGCACCACACTAGTCCGAATGGAGCAGTGTGAGGTTTTTTCCAGTGGCTGGAGTGCCAATTCTGCCACCAACCCCCAAGTTATTCCCTGTAAGTTGGAGGACCTCCTTGTCGGTCTGGATGTAGATTAACATCATACCCAGCGCGAAGCAACTGCAGGTCAAGGACCCAATGCAGTAGAATCACTCTGGGCATTCATGGGATTTGAACCAGCAACCTTCCAGTTGCCAGCACAGATCCCTAGCCTCAGAGCCACCACTCCGACCCATGAATGACCACGATTTTTAAATTGAAACCGATTTGTGGGCTAGTTGCTGATAATTTAAATGCTTTGATTGAATGGGAAGAGTGGGTGTGCCGTTGTATTAAATGGGATCTTAAAGCTAATTGTGTGACTTTGCTTTTACTATGTGTCCCATGGGCAGAATGACATGACCTCCGTTGCCCTGCGGTGGAAGGACCTCCTAATTCCACTGCTTCAGAAGTATAAGCTGAACATCACCTGGGGAGACCAGGACCTGCTCAACATCATCTTTCACCACAACCCTGGTGAGCCACGTTTCACCCTGCCCTCCCTGTCCGTCATGATGCGAGTGTGTGACAACGCCCATGGACTCGGAGTTAGCCTCGTCCAGACTGACCGCAGACCATTCCCTTGCAGAGAGCCTCTTCCTCGTCCCCTGCCAGTGGAACTACCGGCCAGACCACTGCATTTACGGAAGCAACTGCGTCCCGGCAGAGCAGGAGGGCGTCTTCATCCTCCACGGCAACCGGGGCGTCTATCATGACGAGAAGCAGCCGTCATTCCGGGCGGTTTACCAGGCGTTTCAGAGGGTGAGGAAGGGCTGGGGTGCAGGGCTGGCATTATGGGTAATGCTGTCCTTGTCCCAATATACATGCATGTATCATAAATAAAATTAATAACAATGTATGTGTGGACAAATGAAGTGACACAAGCTTTAATCGCGATCTGATAAGAACAGATGCAACAAGATCAGGATAGCATAACAAGAAATAGTGTTTTGCATAATATACTGACATCTCGGTATTGGAAATCTTTCAAATATTGCAATGGGATTTTGTTGTAAAATATTGGGGTATTAATGAAACAGAATATAGTTAAATTCTCACTAACCCGTCTAGGAGTGATTTCAACAGCAATTAAGGATGAAAATGATTTTGATTGTCTCAGAAGGCATGCAGCACTCATGCAAAAGCACCGGAGGTAAACTTCAGTCTGATTTTTAAACGTATGCTAGTTAATGTTGAAAATAAAATTGCTAAACTTGCTAGGTTTTTTTTTCCTGTGATAGTAAGAATGATATAGCGAGACTTAAACTCCCTGCGCTATAATATTTGTGGAGATTATTGAAGATTAGAAAAAGCTTGATCTTAATCTAGCTGACTAGCGATGTAAACTGGATGTGCATAACATGTGATGTTGGTATTAATATAGGATATCATCCAGCCCTGTAATACACGTCATTTTTCGAATTCAGAACAAAATTCCCCGCCTTGCGTTGTAATGTCATTTAGCAACAGTACCAGTTTTTCCGCCGGTGGAAAACCAACACCTTGAAGTAGCGTATTTTTCATGCCTTCTTGAAGATCCAAAAGTACGGCACCTGGTGCGGTGGAAAAGCGCCCTTTATTTTGCGGTGAATTTCACAGCTTTACAGCGCTACGCATTTCGTACATGCAGTACCTTATACCTTTTTTCTGGTTTACAAATGAGATGCACGCTATTCATATTGGTCACTCCTAACTATTGTTCTGTCTTCAGAGTCACGTTAATTAACTGGCAAATGTGTGACGGAGTCCATCGTTTGAGCTGCTGGCTCTGTCCGTGTGTTTAATAAGCTGAGAGAATTCATTTGCTTATAACCTTAGCTGAACCGTTTGCTAAAGATTCTCTGATTATCGGGGAGATTTCTCCAGCACGAGGTTGTCATGGCTTGACCACGCTCCCAGGAGAGCTGCAAACATTACACAGTCTCTGATTTAAGTCTTAAGTCTGTGGAGTAGCTACTTGTATGCTTAGGACTTTGTCATATTTAATATGTACAGGTAATTAAAAATGAAATTCATTCACATATACAAAGAGCTGTCAGCTTTATGAGGAATTCGGTGTCTGGTGGCAAGTTGGATAATTAAAATGGTTTCCCCCCCCCAGTACACGTTTGGGGAGGATTTGGTTGAGTCTCTCCTGCTACCTTTGGAGGAAGATTTACGCAAGACGACTCACACTTACTGTGGCCGGGTGGGACATCTTTTCACCAAGAGGCTTCAGCTGAGCGTGAGGACTTCTCAGGGGGACGCTTCCAGAGGACAGTGATTGGTATCTTCTGGAAGGAGGAAGCCCGGGAACTCCTAACCAACACTGCCTTTAGCATAACGCCACACTTCGCATCAGATAACCTTCTCGAATGTTTCATACGATATCTGACCCTGAGCGTGATCGGGCTCCACCCTGTGGGGGGGTGGTCAGAATACAACAGTAGGGAAGAGGAGGAGCAGAGTGTCCAGCTGTGCCCAATTGGTGGACTACAGCACTTGTGGAGATGTGGCAGTGGTCCAGATCCACAGAGACTTCCAGCTCCTGACAAGCTGGGGCGTGACAATCATTTTCTGAGTTTTATGACTTTGCGTGTCTGACAATCACGCAGGTTCTCTTGGTGATCGCGCAGATAGGAATACCAGTCTTGCTCGCTGGAAAGGGATTGTTTTTTTGACCAAGATGTTTGGGTATTTATAACATCCATTATTCCCAGATTGGATTTGGAGCAATAGATTATCCCTTGTGACTGGGGGGAAGGGGGGGTACTTTTATCCGTTTTTTATTTATTTTTTTATTTTTTTTAATTAAAAAAAGGTGGTTTAGCGTAGTATGCCATGTACATCAGTGAGGTGTTTAAATTCTTCCTCCCAACCAATTGTTTGATCATTAAAGGAACAGTTTACCCCAAAGCTGAAAAAAGGTATGTTTTAGATGGGCTTTGGTACTATCTATCCATCTAGGTTGTTCTGCTGGGACTTGCCAAGTTTTAGAGAGATTTGTTGTAGAAATGTCAGGCTTCTCTCGAATATAATGGGAGTGGATCTTTTTTTGGTTTTGGGGTGAACTACCCCTTTAAATAACAGTACTTACATGCCCTGAGTGTTTCAGAGGCTCGGTGGTTTATTTCAAGTTTTGCTTCATCCGTGAAGATTTGTTCATGGTAGGGCTGACCTCCCTGCACCTTTGAGGTACAGCTCAGCTGCACTCTGCTTCTCACATCGGCAGTCAGTGGACCAGCATCCTGCCTTAAGCCCTGTGTGTCTCTGGGCAGGCTTCCGCCCCCCAAAACCCTCCCTGGACAAACGTTTGTTAAAGATGGTTGGGTGGACAGACAGACTTTATGGAAATGTTCAGTATATGCTGTATTTCAATGATAGAACCACTAATACACTGCTATGTTTGTGTACTGAAATATTTTAAAATGTACTTTTCATTTCAATGACTTTTCTTAGTGTTTTCCTGTATTTAAATAGCTAATGCCAAAAATGGTTACATATGTGATTGTACATAGATTAATATTTTGATTGAAGCAAAACACTAAAATCTGAAGTTTTTATGTTGACTGAAGAATATTTTGAATGTGAACTTTTAATGTTTTCAGTTCTTTTTAATGTTGTAATGTTGTAGTTATTTTACTGTTTGTGGGGATACGTAACAGGTAAGTGATTTACATGCAATATATTTTTGAAAAGATTAAACTTTTTTTATATGCAGTGAGCAAACGATGGATTTTCAGAATTTAAAAATTAAAGATATTAGCTATTGAGTGCTCTGTTGTGGCCTGAAATCTATATTTAAATTAGTCTTTTTACCTGCTTTTTACAGTTTAGCATACCTGCCCCTAATTTGCTAGTTAAGTGGCGGTCTTATGGAGTGAGTATAGATCACCAAGCCGGCCCTGGAGTCCCTTGCTTTTGAGGATGGCAAATATAAATGGTATGAATGGGTTTTTTTTTGTTTTTGTTTTATTTTTTTTTCTCCTTCAAAACAATATCCAGCAACACTGAAGTCTTGCCCACGTCACTCTTACCTTGTTTCCACCAACGTGGTGCTGCTGCCAGTGCTGGGCTGGTTCTTGCTTGGTGCCTTTTGAGAACCAGCCTGCATTTCCACCAGTTTCAAAAAAGTATGGAACAGACATGTTACGTAGGCGGAAGTGAAAGTAAAGTAAAGATTAATCTGTAATTCGTTTTTTGGATTTCAACTGAAAGATGTTTCTGGAGTGTAACCTGTTGTGCCCTGATTCTATTACCTGTATCCTCTTTGTCTCTGTAAAGGCTCCCCGTCTGTGTGAGTTTATTCTCACTGGCTGTTTTACTGCTGTCCTTTTAGGGATCTCTCTGCCACTTGAATGCCACAATATTTTATTTATTCAATCTAACATTTATACTTTATTATTAAATCTGACCAGCAGATCGATCTTTTAGTTTTCTCAGAATAAAAAAAAAAAAACGATGTAACTTTATTCTGCTAATAAGCTGGCAAGTTGTTTCACTGCCAGCACTGCTGTTATTAGACTAACTGTTGGTTATGGATTGAATTTTCCAGGTGTACTGAAGGTTTGGACACCGTAGCCCATCCCACTTTCACTGCTGTTACGGTGCCGCATTCTGAACCCACCTTTTCTGTGGTGCCAAGCTGAAGCTGTTTTCTTCTGGCCCAGGGCCATTTTTTGCAGTGGAAATGCATGGAACCAGTTCCGGAATGGGAGAAAGTCTGCCACTGGCACCGCGTGGGTGGAAACGAGGCTTCTGTGGCCTTCTCATGACATGTTTTGCAGTTTTTACTAAGTGTTGGGTCTCATTGAACATCACAGTGGTTGGCATGGCAAACTAATAATGGAAAATGGGCTTTTCCCTATTATGCGAGTGCTGAGACTTTAACTGCATCAGGATGGAGTGGTATGTGGCTTGGGTGTCTGGTGAACTGAAAATTTGCATTTCATCTCAACGCCGAGTAAGTTACACCGATGTGTGTTGTCAAATTTAAGGTAAATCTTAGTTGGCAGCATTCAGTAGTTTGCTATCTCGTGTCATTCGGCTGAAGAATCGGTCAGCATAAAACACATATTATTCAGAGCTTTTTACCTGGAGAGGCTGATTAGAGCCTGGTTTGACATTCTGTTCATCCCCGGCTTCTAATGTAATATTTGAGACACCGAACACATTGTCAGTGTAATGGCATGTCATACTGTCCGCAGAGTACGCACAGCACTCAGACGGCTACTGCACGATGGTGGTGCAGGAGGTAGTGCTACCGTTTGGCAACCGGAGGGTTGCAGGTTTGAGCCCCGGGTCCTCCTGACCCCATCGAAGTGTCCTTGAGCAAGACAATGAACCCCAAATTGCTCCCGGTGAGCTGGTTGGCGTCTTGCATGGCAGCCTCCACCACCGGTGTGTGAATGCGTGGTGTGGATGGGTGAATGTGAGGCATAACTGTAAAGCGCTTTGAGTACTCGAAAGAGTAGCAAAAATGCGCTACATAAAATGCAATCCAACGTTACCCTCTGGCAATAATTAAAGGATAGTTCTAGCAAGTTGCATGTATGATGTTTAGAAGTCATCGATAAATGTTTCTGTAATAAAGTTTTATCAATATGAATAAATACATTTGTCTGAATTTTGCAGGATTCCTTAATGTCACTGGGTAGCAAGATGGAACTCGCATTGACAGCACTGCTCCTTCAGTAAATGTAGCCAATTACCTGAACAGGAAATTATTCTACAGCATTAATAGTGTCTGAACACTGTTACATTTCAAAATTTTATTTTCCACTATATTGTAACGTATTTGGGCCTACCCATGTACACTCTTAAGGTCATTTGCGACACTCCTGGGCTCTGTCCCCAACTCAAGTATTTATAGGGAATGTCCTTTGTACAACAAATTTTCACAGGCTACATAACTTCTGAATTTGTAGCTTTAACACAAATGTTAAGGTATATGCCCTTTGTAATTTGACAGCTGGATGGTCTTCCACTTTGGGACACAGTGTACCTCCTCGTGCCCCATCTGATGACCCCTTACCCTGACCCAGCACTTGGACCGCAGTCAAACTTCAATCCAACCCATAGCTGGGGTATAGGCATACTCAAAGCCCAGTTCCAGTGAGACCCCAGAGAGACATTATTGTTGCATGTGTGGTACTGCACAATATTACCACACATTGAGCCACTCCTCCACCTTGCAGACCACAGAGATGGCAGAATTCTCAGGGACATCTTTGCAAATTACCATGTTTCTCTATAATTTCTCACAGCCACTGCAGTAACTGAAATTAAGACGATTTCACTGCAGTTTCATTCATGACCTCTTTATTGCCTGGTATTTCCGCAATTTCTAAAGTACTTTAACTCTTTAAATGATTATTATGCTCCATTCGGAAATCATACTTTCTTACTTGCCTTTCCAGATGGACCTTGTATAGTTCCTTCACAGGAAACTATTAAGAGAACATCTCCTTTATCCTGAGTCACTAAATTTCATGCTTTCACTTATACAGTCGGCCCTCAGCATCAGCAGAGTCTACCGCCTGTGAATCAAATATATTGAGTGCTCTATTGTGGCAAAACAGAATTCCAGAAAGTTCCAAAAAGCTAAATTTGCTGCACACCAAGCACTACAATACAGTTTAACAAATATTTACATACCATTGTATTAAGTATTATACCAAGGGGTAACTGTACACAGGAGACAGGTTCATACTTACCTTTTATTCCGTTATATCTCGGCCCTGCTTACACAAACATAGATGGTACTGTATAGCTTACTACACACCTAGGCTACAGTAAACTTGTTTTTAAATAAGTATAAAGGGAACACTCTAAAATAACGATAGAATGCACAGCATAGTAAATACATAAACCAGTAAGTTATTTTCATTATCAAGCATTATGTACTGTACATAATTGTATGTGCTATACTTTTACACAACATGACTAGAGACTAGAAATGTTGGTTCTGTATGAGACATTGCAGTGCGTCACTGTGAAAGAGCCAATCAGGGCAGAGCTCATCAACATATTAATTTGCTCACAAAAAAGGGGAAATGGCCTGTTTCATTCAGTTCAGGTTGGGGAGCATGCGTTGATGCAGCGTGTTGCCGCACCCACCACACTGCGAAGCTCCTCGGGATCCCGGTCGACGACCTACCAGGCGGATACACGGTCCAGTCCCACCCTCTGGAAATGGCGATCCATCTGCTCTAGCTAGGTGTTATGTGGGTGTCCCCTTAGCCTGGTCCAGCCACTTGGGTTCTCAGCAATGAGGATCCTGCAAGCCGGATCACCCTCAGGGAAACGCGCCACATGGCCGTAGTGCCGTAACTGATGCTCCGTCACAATGCAACTAATATGCCTCGTTCGGGACTCCTCTAATAACTGCTCATTTGACACAAAGTCAAACCAGTGGTACCCAAGGAAAGTCAAGATCAATAAACCTTTCTTCGCCAACAGACGCCCCACAGCCGCTGGGTCCCAGAACCCTGCCCAACACCAAGTCCATACAAACATTGAACGCTTTACGAAAATCTACAAAGGCTGCAAAGAACCTCTGCCGATATTTGCGCTGGCGCTCGATGAGAACCCTCAGTGCAGGGATACGGTCCATGGTAGACTTCTTAGGCATAAAACCAGACTGCTCAAGTCCCTGACAGGCAAGCAAGTAATGACAGATCTTATTGAGCGTGACCCTAGCAAGGATCTTACCCGGCACTGAGAGCAGTTATCCCCCTGTAGTTGTCGCAATCCAGGCAATCACCCGTCCCTTTCCAGATAGGGACTATAAGTCCCATTTTCCAGTCAGTAGGGATGACACCTGACTCCCAAATGGAAGCAAAGATTGCCTGCAGTGCCAGGAGGACAGCCTTACCACCGGCCTGGAGAAGTTCACCCCGGATACCACAGATCTCTGTGGCCTTCCCTGCCCCCAGCTGATTCACCACCCATGCAATCGCAGTGAGACTAGGTGGTACACAGCTGATCGGAGGATCAGCCTCGAGAACCGTGGACCCAGAGATGTCCAACATCCTAGCTGGAGGGTCAGCTTTAAACAACTGCTCAAAGGAGCCGGCCCAGTGAGTCACAACTGCAGTGTCATCCGTAAGGACCGTCCCATCACTGCAAGTCTCCGAGGAACAGATTCAGATGTGCGTAATGCTTCGATTCCTCTGTAAGCAGGATGTGGGTCACTAGACCACAGATGGTGTGTCACCTGCTCACAAATTCGTTTAACAAACGCCTCCTTTTCTGCCCTCAGGGCCCTCATAGCTGTACTGCGGGTCCTTCTCAGCTCCCGGTACAGACTGGAGTTGCCACCAAGTTGTGTGCTGTGGTGGCGCAGGAGGTAGTGCTATTGTTTGGCAACCAGAGGGTTGCAGGTTTGAGCCCCGGTTGTTCCTGACCCCATCAAAGTGTCCTTGAGCAAGACACTGAACCCCAAATTGCTCCCAGTCAGCAGGTTGGCACCTTTCATGGCAGCCTTTGCCACCGGTGTATGAATGTGAGTATGGATGGGTGAATGTGAGGTATAAGTTGTAAAGTGCTTTGAGTACTTGTAGGAGTAGAAAAGAGCTACATAAATGCAGTCCATTTAGTCCATTACTCCTCTTGATAATATCCAGGGTGCCCTGCGAGATGAAACACCTCCTTCTGGGAACACTGACAGCATCAACACAGCCCTTGGCAACCTTCAGGGTCTTATCATGGAAGGTCTCCCACATCACATTAGAGTCAGCAGTTGCACCCAAGTCTGCAAGTTCCTCACACAAAC